ACCATGACCTACTGGTTTACAGGTTGATGCTCAACCACTGAGCAACATCAGTCAGGCACAGAAGCCTTTTAAAAATTTTATTACTAGAGGCCCGGTGCACAGATTCATGCATGGGGGGATGAGGGGAGTTGGTGGAGGAGGAGGTGCCCTTTCGCAATCTGGAACTCCTCAGGGGATGTCCGACTGCCTGTTTAGGCCCAATCCAGGGATTGGGCCTAAACAGACAGTCAGACATCCCCCAAGGCATGTAGCAGTGTGCCAAGTGGCAGGTGGCAAAGAAGGAGCCTGAGTCAGGGCCGGGCGCTGCTCGTACTCATCCCCACCTGCTGTGCCTGCCGCTGCCACTTGGTAGCACTGCCTCAGAGTCAGGAGAGGCTCCACCAACGCACCTGCGTCACCAGCCGTGAGCCCAGCCTCTGGCTGAGCAGTGCTCCCCCTGTGGGAGTGCACTGACCACCAGGGGGCAGCTCCTGTGTTGAGCATCTGCCCCTTAGTGATCAGTGTGCCTCATAGTAACTGCTCAACCAGTCATTCTGGTTGTTGTGGTTGTTCAGTGGTAAGGGTCGCTTAGGCTTTTATATAGAGATTTATTTATTTGCTACAGGGGTGGGAGGAGAGGCTCCCCCTAATGCTGGAATGGTGAGTCTCAAACTTTTTCATGTACTAGAACACCTACAGATCTTATTACAACTCAGATCTTGCCCTATCCGGTTTGGCTCAGTGGATAGAGTGTCAGCCTGCAGACTCAAGGATCCCAGGTTCAATTCTGGTCCAGGGTATGTACCTTGGTTGTGGGCACATCCCCAGTAGGCGGTGTGCAAGAGGCAGCTGATCGATGTTTCTCTCTCATCGATGTTTCTAACTCTCTATCCCTTTCCCTTCCTCTCTGTAAAAAATCAATAAAATGTATTTAAAAAACAAAACAAAACAAAAAAACCTCAGACCTCTACACCAAGAGTTTTTTATTCTGTAGACTAGAGAAGTCTTGGACTAGAGAATTTTCATTTTTAATTAGTTCCCAGGTGATGTTGATACTACTAATCCAAAAACTACACTTTGAGAATGACTGTACTAGAATTAAGGGATATCTGGCAAATTGGTGGGTTGGTAGGGCAGAAGCATGTGTGAAGAGAGAAATCCTAAGAAAGAAGTCCTAAGCCTTAGATACGACATACTTGATCCAATAACAAAACCTTAACCACTTGGTGTAAGACAAGGGGAGTAGGGATTCTGAGTTGAAGGTAATTCAAATATTCTTTGAATTCATTCCTGGTACAGCCTATCTGGATCCATATTTAGGTCCCAATTTTAACAAGGACTGCATTAATAAAATTGAGAGAACTGCACAAATATTGTTGCATATCAGAGCTATAATAAAAGGGAAAAGAAGGTCATTTCCCTCCATTCTCCATCATGTATCTTCAACACCACCAGGACAGACTAGCATCTGGTGAAGCAGCATGGAGTAGAAGCAGCACCTGGTAGAATATCATAGAATTGGATTTGTTTCTGAACAGGTGTGGGACTCCTCATGGGGGCTCTCAGAAATAATTAAATAGGGAATGTACTTTGCAGGAGGCTTGAGTTTCTGCATAAGCAGTTGAGGGCCAGAGCCAGGGCAATTTGAGTTACATGGAAACCTTTGATTTTAACTCAGAATGTTTTCACTGTATCTTGAGTAGAAAACTACAGGGTATAAAGGTATATACACCCAGCATCTTCTGCTCTGAACCACGTTTTAAGTCAGCTAACAATAAACAACCACCAAATTATTTTTAGTAGAACCATCAACAAAATAAAAGCATGGTGTGTGAATTATAGCTCTTACATGTTTACACAGGATAAAATGAGAAAGAGAAAACCATAGTCGGGAATAATTAGAATTCTGCTACACCCTAGTAGTAAGGTAATAAGCACTAAGCTATGGGGTGACTACAGGCAAATGAAGGAGGAAAGTGGTATATAATATCAGCAAGACTTGATAGTGAGATAATATTCAGCAAGTAAATTAGGGTAAAAGTTAAAGATGGGACCAACTTTTCTGTCATGGAAGCTAGAAAAGCTATGACCCAACTAAGAAAAACAGAATTTTAAAAGAATAATCATTTTGAGCCCTAGCTGGTTTGGCTCAGTGTATAGAGCAACAGCCTGCGGACTAAAGGGTCCAGGTTCGATTCCAGTCAAGGGCACATGCCTGGGTTGTGGGCTTGATCCCCAGTAGGGGGCGTGCAGGAGGCAGCTGATCAATGATTCTCTCTCATCATTGATGTTTCTATCTCTCTCTCTCTCCCCTCCCTTCCTCTCTGAAATCAATAGAAAAATTTTTTTAAAAAATTATAATCAATATTCTAAGACACGAAAGGTCAGAATGCCATGAAACAATAAAAAGGAACTAGAAAGAACTCTTAGAAATTAAATATAATGTAGTATCAATAAACAATGCATTAAAAAGAACTGAAAGATAAAATTGAGGAAATATCTTAGAAAGTAGAACAAAAAGATAAAATAAAATTAGAAAAAAGGTAAGAATTATTAAAAAATATGAAAAAAGAAAATTTTCCAGACCTGAAGGACCTAAGTTTCTCCATTGAATATGAATATCACCAAGTACCCAGCCCAATAAATAAAGCATGACCCACCCAAAGATATATCAAATACTGAAATGTCAGGATACCAAGAAGAAAGAGAAGATCAAATAAACTTCAGAGAGAAGAAACAGGTTACATACATAGGTGTTGGAGTCTAATAGTATCCAGCTACTCTACAATGATCGGGAAGCTAGAAAAGAATTGATCAATGACTTCAAAATGATGAAAAGGTATTTCCAATGTTGAATTTTATATCCAGCCAAGCTATAAAATGTAGATAGAATAAAGATCTTTTTTCCAGACATATGTGATCTACAAAAATGTGCTTCCTATGCATTTTTTCTCAGGAAGCTAAGAATATGTTCAACCAAATTAAAGAAAGAAGATAGAAGCCATGGCCTGTGTTTCTCAGTGGTTAGAGCATTGTCCCATTCACCAAAGGATCAAGGGTTCAATTCCCGGTAAGAACATATATCCAAGTTGTGGGTTCTATTCCCAGTCAGGGTGTATGCATGAGCCAACCAATAGATGTTTCTCTCATATCAATGCTTCTCTCTCTCTCCCTCTTCCTTCCTCTCTCTCTAATCACTGAAAAGCAATCTTGGGTGAGGATTTAGGAAGAAAAGAAAGAAAGAAAGAAAGAAATCAAGAGATGCAAATCAAAACGACAATGCAGTACCATCTTACACCTGTCAGAATGGCTATCATCAACAATCAACAACAAGTGCTGGCAAGGATGGGGAGAAAAAGGAACCCTCCTGCATTGCTGGTGGGAATGCAGATTGGTGCAACCACTGTGGAAAACAGTATGGGGTTTCCTCTAAAAGATAAAAATGGAACTCCCATTTGACCCAGTGATCCCACTTCTAGAAATATATCCCAAGGTAACAGAAACACCAATCTGAAAGGATATATGCATCCCTATGTTCATAGCAGCACAATTCACCATAGCTAAGATTTGGAAACAGCCTAAGTGCCCATCAGCAGATGAATGGATTAGAAA